ACCAGTGGTGTCGTTGTCTGGGGTTGTGGAACAGGGCTCAAAGACGCATTGCTATTTCTGCTTTTTAGCCACTGTATTCTCCAAAGCTAAGCATCTTGGAGCACCTGAAACCCAAGGGGCTTCATTTGCAAGAAGAAGAGTTTGGATTTGATATCCCGCTTTATCTCTACCCTAAGGAGTCTCAAAGCGGCTAACAATCTCCTTTCCCTTCCTCCCCCACAACAAACACTCTGTGAGGTGAGTGGGGCTGAGAGACTTCAGAAAAGTGTGACTAGCCCAAGGTCACCCAGCAGCTGCATGTGGAGGAGCAGAGACGCGAACCCGGTTCCCCAGACTACGAGTCGACCGTTCTTAACCACTGCACCACACTGGCTCTCTGTTGGCGTGCAAGTTCCGTTACATGCAATGGAATTTCGTGGAAAATACAACCCCTGAAAGAAGACACTGGAATGCTCCAAATCATCAACTCATGTGCGTGCACGGAATATACAGTGGTACCTCGGGTTAAGAACTTAATTTGTTCTGGAGGTCCGTTCTTAACCTGAAACTATGCTTAACCTGAGGTACCACTTTAGCTAATGGGGCCTCCCGATGCCACCACACCGCCGCCGCACAATTTCTGTTCTCATCCTGAAGCAAAGTTCTTAACCCAAGGTACTATTTCTGGGTTAGCGGCGTCTGTAACCTGAGGTACCACTGTAGTAGATCTGACTGAAAGGCGGCAGGTGGAGATCTGTCACTGACCATTGCAGTGCATCCTTAATTACAATGATTACTATATAACTGTAAGATTATTGTATGATCTTAGAAAGCTGCATGAGGGTGAGTGGCGGTGACTATCATGAAACTTCTGAACCAGTCACTCCACTCCTGCTCAGAAAGACTGGGGCCTGCAGATAAGGTTTCACATGCTTCAAAACATGAGCTGAACGAATCCATCCATACCAGGTATGCCAGAGTAATATTGTATTACCTGCATTGATCGGGGGATGGACTGGATGACATCTGAGGTCCCTTGCAGCTTGGTGGTGATTCTATGAGTAAGAGTCAAGCCCACTGCCTCCCTTAACCATGGGGGGGGGGGGAATCTAGCAATATTAACTTAGAAAGTTGTGTCTTAGAAAGAGGGTGTGTGGCTGTGCCAATCACAAGAGGACGATGGACTTCTGAATTTGAAACTGCGCTACTGGGGACAAAACCAGAATTCATTGGCTCCATTGCCTCTGCCTTTCCCACTGCTTGGGCTCCCTGTCTCCCCACAGCACCTAGTCCTGATGTCCGCAAACCAACACTGATGGTACCTTCTTACACCCAAGTCCAAAATAAAATAGAATGGGAATTGAGTCCAAAGATATAAGAAGGGAAGGGGGCACCCTTAATATATGAAGATTGGGTTTCCTGCCCACTTTTAACAGAAAGGAGATGGATGCAAAGGGAGAAAATTAAATTAACTGACACAATCATGCAACATGCCTTTTGAGTTGTCCCTTTTCCTCTGTGTAAGCAATGTTATTGGGTCTCTCTCTCTCTCTCTCTCTCTCTCTCTCTCTCTCTCCACAGCCTGCCATACCCTGAGCTGCGTCTACTCATATTTCCCTTCCAAATTCTATCTCCTGCCATCCCCATGTCACATTTAAAATGCTAACAGTACCGAATGTCATTTGCAGAATCGGGGCGTTTGCTGCGGAAAATTAATTTGACTTATTCCTTCTGCCTTTTCCTATCTGCGGGCCAATATTATGCTACTCATTCTACAAGAGTAATACTTAATGAATAGGACTATTAATAATGTCAAGGTCTAAAAGGGGGGGGGGATCATCGCACGGGGAACGGAGAGGCGTCGACGGTGAGAGGGGAGTCACCTGACTCGGGTTAATATACCATGGAAATATCAGCCGGGGCAATGTAATTATGGAGCAGAGGAGAGTTAAAAAGAGTGTCAAGGAAGTCAGAGGGTGTGTGTGTGGAGAGAGTGAGAGCACATTAGATAGATCAACAGACATAGATATAGTTTGTACCACACACACACTTTCTCCTCCCTTCCAATAATTTACCTTAGCCTTTGCGCAAAGGCACATTGACGAGAGTGGTTTTAAAACAGATAACGAAAGGTGCACTATCAGGTCAGCGGCTTGTTAAGCTAAGCAAACGCTTCTTTGCAAGGATGGAGAGCCTTACGCCCGGGAAGAGGGCAAGTGCGGCCCCTCCAGCCTCTCTATGTGGCCCTTGGGACTCTCCCCCATGCCACACCCCCTTTCCTGGCCACGCCTCCTTCTAGGCTTGCTTCGCACCTTCCTTGAGAGTTTTCGTCTGGCTGGAAGGAGTAGGAGACGGGTACCCTGCACCTGTGCTACACAGGTCGTCCTTTTGGCATAGGCAGGGGCAGCTCAGGTGGTACATGCTGTCCTGCGCTGGAGGCAGGATACTGCCCCATGAGATGTCGGCAAAGTCTCAGAAGGCCGAGGCCCCCGCCCTGTAAGGCCAGAAACTGATGGGTACATTTGGAGTCACTTCTGAATAGGTTGGGGCACATCCAGGCTGAATCTGTCTGTCTGTCTGTCTGTCTGTCTATCTGTCTATCTATATCTATCTATCTATCATCTATCTATCTATCTATCATCTATCTATCTATCTATCTATCTATCTATCTATCTATCTATCATCTATCATCTATCATCTATCTATCTATCTATCTATCTATCATCTATCTATCTATCTATCTATCCTCTGCAAAAACTTTTTAAAATAATAATAATAATAATAATAATAATAATAATTTTGAAACATATATTGAATTTGCCATCAGCTCACCCTCACCATCTAGTGCGTATTTGTATAATGCACTTAAAACACGCTTTAAACGTTGTATTTGCAGCTGTGTAGCTGCAAATTGTCAATGTGCAGAATCTCCAGCCTTGGGGTAGTAGGGATATCTTGACATAGGCATATATTCCCCAGCCATTCTACATAATCCCCAGCAGCTTTTGGGTTTTCAGTTTTAATACAGGGTGGGGGGAAATACTGCCCCACAAGCTTTGGGGGAAACACTATAGTTTGTTCTCACAATGGATGTCTTCATGAATCTCCGCTGTGAAAGGACCTGTTAGAATAAATAACAGGGCACGCTTACCCAAGCACCAAGCCCCCAACGAGGATACAATATTTGGGGCTCTTTTATCATATTGTTATGAGTTTTGGGGAGGTTGGGGAACCAGATCAGGGATAGACCAGCCATTAGAACATAAGACTTTTAATCTCAAGAGTGATGAGTTCGAGTCCCACGTTGGGTGAAAAATCCCTGCACTGCAGGGGGTTGGGCTAGAGGACCCTTGCAGCTTGGACTGGCTAGTTAAGCACCACGAGTTTGAATATCCAAAGAAATCGCTCTGTGCCATAGAACAAATGGCTGGGCTGCCCACCCCGCAAACCTCTTACATAGTAGGCGAACAATAGCCACAGAGGTGTGTGAGCAGGACTGGATGTAGGTTTGATGAGGCTCCAAGCTACTGAAGGCAATGGGGCCCTTTATATGTCCAGCTGTCCTTTGTCAACAACAAATTGCCGCTTTTGTGTGTGTTGAATATATGCTATATGGTAATTTATGGACCTAATAGGTATCTAAAGCCATTGGCACATGTTGCATGCAACCAGTCCATGCAGAATGTAGGCACCCTATGTATAGAAATGAGCAAACCAGAGATATTTTAGGGAGTAGGCTAGCAGGCAGGGCCCATTACTTACATCACAGGAGCCAACACAACACAAAGCAGAACACTGTTGCTGTATGCAGGTGTTATTTTATTTGTTTTTTATCTTATATTTTGGAAATGTACATCCAGGTTTTTTTTCCTTTAAATTTTTTTGGGGGCCCCCAAGAGAGTGGGGCCTTAAGCTATAGCTTGTTTAGCTTATATGTAAATTGGGCACTGTGTGTGAATGAACTGGAAGCTGGAGACAGAGACTTGCCTTGCTCTGTGCTGAATCTAAAGCTATGACTAAGGAGTGGCACGATCTTTTGGGGTGTTTATGGCACGAGCCCCACCGTCCTCTGCTCAGGTTGTATACATGTGCAAATAAAGCCATATATATGTATCTTAAAGGGACGTGGGTGGTGCTGTGGGTTAAACCACAGAGCCTAGGACTTGCCGATCAGAAGGTCGGCGGTTTGAATCCCTGTGACGGTGTGAGCTCCCGTTGCTTGGTCCCTGCTCCTGCCAACCTAGCAGTTCGAAAGCACATCAAAGTGCAAGTAGATAAATAGGTACCGCTCCGGCGGGAAGGTAAATGGCGTTTCCATGCGCTGCTCTGGTTGGCCAGAAGCGGCTTAGTCCTGCTGGCCACATGACCCGCAAGCTGTACGCCAGCTTCCTCGACCAGTAAAGCAAGATGAGCGCCGCAACCCCAGACTCGGTCACAACTGGACCTAATGGTCAGGGGTCCCTTTACCTTATGTATCTTAAAGACACCACAGTCGCTGCTGACCTTCCAGGGAAACTGAGTGTTGGGTTAAGTGCAGACACACCCTTGGTGTCTCTCGCTATTCGGAAACTGAGGCAGCAACGCTATATTCTCTGCTGTTGCCTTATTGCTCTGCCGTTCCTCTTGCTTTGTGGTGTCGTTCTCTTCCACTCTCCCTTTTTCTTTTTGGCAAAGGCCATTTTCAGGCCCTGGAAGGCAAAATTAATTTCCTATTACTGTTTGGATCAATACTTCAGCTGAAAGATCAGGCCACGGAGGGCAACCCCCAGATGTTTATTCCATGCCCCCAGAGATGTCCCTCCCATAAAAGCAGGGCAATGAGCGCCATTGTCCCCAAAGGACCGAGGTAAACGGCTTTGGGGCAAGACAAGCCAGGGTGATGATCGGGGGTGGCTTGGGCTTTCAAAGCAGAGTCAACAAATTATCACGAGAACATAAGAATCAGGCCATTGGCCCATCTAGTTCAGCAAACCCTAGTAGCCAACCAGATGCCCGTGGAAAAGCAGATGAACACTCTCCCCTCCTGCATAGCTCAGCTGGTTAGAGGGTGGAGCTGATAACGCCAAGGCTGCAGGTTCGATCCCCTGTAGAGGACATCTGCATATTACTGCATTGCTGGCGGTCGGACCTGATGATCCTCAACTCTACGATTCTACGATTCTACGAAAGTTCTGTCGCTGGGAATTATTAAGTAAAGTTCTTGTGTGAACCTGAAACAAGAGTTTCTGTCAGAAAACGGGGCCTTTAACAGTGAAGCCATCAAGCTTTATCCCTCTTTCAACGTTTGTCCATAAAAAATACAGCTTTTGTTCCCATTGTGCCTCAGCTTTAATCTATAGCTAGTTCAGGGAACAGGTTGTCACAGGAAAAAACCACCCCCCCCAATCCTTGCTGCAGGTTTATTTTGGACACAACCACATGCAGTGGCAAGGCTTCCTGACTGACATTATCTCCGTCCTGTCTTTTTCAGGATTCAATTGCAATTGGCTATTACAGAGAGATAATCTAGAAGTTGAGGCTTCACCTCATATTTTCATATTTTCATGGTCTTGTTTCCTCTGAGCTTTCAGGCTATTTTGTGTGTGTGTTCTCCTCTCCCCCAAAGGGAAAAAAAAAACACCACCCACCCATAGAAAGCTAGTATGTCAGGGTGAAGACATTGCCCAAAACCTTCTCCCTGGCTTGCTAGCTTTCTCTGTTCAAGGCATTTTACAGGGGTGGGCAGGGTTACAGAAGAACATTTACATTTGGTTCTGCCTAGGCTGCCTGCATCCAAGAGCCAAGACCTATGAAGGTGAAGAGCCCAATTTTACGATTATTATTATTGTTTTATCGCCTCCAGTTTGCCTGCCTTGTAATTTATTTGTTAATCTGCTCTCCAGCTCATGAATTTTGTGTTCCGAAGGTAGGGAAAGAAAAGAGAGAGAAATTAAAGACACTTGGCCCTTTGAAAGGTGAAGGACAAGATTCGAGGACGAAAGATGTGCTGTTCCCAGCTTTCCATCATCCTTGTAAAAAGGCAAATATGAAGTCAGCAGAAAGGGGGAGAGAGAGAAAAAAAATGAGTGATAAAGACCCCTCAATTAATAATTATCCTGATGGGTTCATCAGGATTCACCACGCTGTGGGTCAGAGAGGACAAACCCACAACCCACCTCGTTCTCTGACTTTCCGCAACACCCTCCCCCCGCCAAGTTCAATTTGGGCAATCTCTCTTTGTCTCTCCCAGTGCCAAATTTCCCCTCCCCTCCCAGCCCCCCCCCTGTTTATACATCCACCCCCTCCTCCTGCTGCTGCTCCTCCTTTTTGTTTTATGAGCATCCTGAGCGTGAAAAATATGGGTCTCCTTTATGGTACTCCAACCCGAATGAAGCTATAAAATTATGAACAGTTTTTATGATGGCTATTCAAAGGATGTTCCCATATTGATGGTACAGAGGCTGTATCTATCTTCCTCCCCCGCTCCCCAAATCTTTCCTCTCTCTCTCCTTCCCCCTCCCCTTTCTGGTGGGACAGAGAGAGGCTGTGAAGGAGGGGGGACGACGGTGGCAGCAGTGCAGGGAAGGATGAGAAGAGGAGCTGGGTGGGGGGGACACACACACGATCTGTGTAACTATTTTTCATGCATTTAATATATTAATTATGTAGTAAATGGTCCCTGGGCTGTACTTGGCTTGGCAGAGAATGACAGCTTCTGCGCAGGGCTCCAAAGGCAAGCCCATCAGCCTACAGTGTATTATATTGGAGAGGTCAGGTTGGGGTTAATGTAACTTTTTATTTGCTGATTTTTCATAGGCGGGAGCCAAGCTGGGAGGGAGGGAGGGAGAGGAGAAGAGAAGAGAAGAGAGAGAGAAAGAGGTGTTAAGGGGAGGAGAGATAATGGATCACAACTCTTCCTTGCCTCTCCTAGTCCTCTCCATGTCAGCTCATTTGAGTATGCAAAAGGAGGAGATCGAGGTTCGCAAAGGGGTGGCATCACTTAGCTCCACCCCCCCCAATTGGTGCAGAAGGAAAAACGAGAATGTATTTTCAAAGGCCAAAAAGCAAACGGTGAATATCCACTCCTACACCAGCCGCTCCCTTGCCACCTAGGGATGAGTTGATTCCGTCAATTTCAGTTTCTCCCAGTTTCTCATTTTCCCCCATTCTTTAGTTCTCCACATTTGCACTTCACCTTGCCATTAAAAAAGGTCTCACGGAAATCCATCACCGTTTGGGTGTGAATTTCCCCTAATATGCAACTTTTTGAATGCGGCGTTGCTTAATGTGTGGGTTTTGGAAAGGCAGTTTCACCTAAAATAACACATTCCTGTGCACAATTTTTAACAGATACATGGGTATTGATAGCTCCTGGTAGGTACACTTTACTTGGCTGGAGAACTGTGCTGAAAAATTCGGCTGTCTTGTTTACAAAAGTGCGAATTAGGCAGGTTCGCCTGGAAGTGTTCACTGATTCAAACATCTCTCCCATGCATGCAAATGGCCAAATTGTTTATCAGGACTCCTATCTGCGATCCATTTCGTTCTATGCTGGAAATGGGCCAGATCTCGGAGAGTTTGTCGGCTTAGAGTGGGCTACTCAGAGTAAAAGCACTGAATTAGCTCAGCTTTGCATAGGAGAGATCTGTATTGACATATTGGCATATCTGTATTTATGCTTTGAATTTTTTCCCCAATTAAGAACTGAAATTACACAAAAGGGGAGGGGCACAAGCACGCAGACAGAGAGGTTCCAGGTTCAAATCCTGGGTTAAGTGTGGGAACCTTTGGTCCCTGAGGTGCTGCTGAACTACAGCTTCCCCCAACCCCAGTAAGCATGCCCAGTGGGTATTTCAGCTACATCTGGAGGGTCAAAGGCTCCACACACCTGTTTTACATGAGCTTGACCATGGGGTAGGATGACTTCCAGAGCTGACATAAAGCCACTTCCGACATCAGGAAGAGGTGGGGTTGTGGGCTTCATGCCCCCAACACGCACGCAGAGGCTGTTTCCAGCCCCCGCGCGATCAGGGGAATCCTCGGGCCGCGTCATCCCCTGAGCCAGCCAATCGGCTGGCTTGGGGTGTGTGGCTTGCCTCACTTAAGGCAAGTGCAGCCCCGGGATCTCCCTCTTTTGCCTGCAGTGAACAAGGCAAGGAAGATCTTGGAACGTGCAGTGACTCGTAGAGTGGCAGCACTGGGGGGGGGGGGCAGGTCATTGACCACCCCGGCATCCAATTCAGTAAGGAGGCCCTCTACCGCAAGGATGGCGTGCAACTTTCTGATGCGGGAAATGATGTTTGGCTGGCCGACATATTCACAGGGATTAAGGATTGCTTGCAGGTCTGAGGGTACTGGCAGCGAGCTTTGTTCGAGTGGTGGTTAGGCATTGGTAAGGCTATTGTTATGTAGATATGGGGGGGGGAGGAGCGCCATAATCTCCCCCATATACTGAAGGGTAGTCCGGTAAAGGATTCCGGGGGGCGTTGCCTCGTCCGAAGCCTATGGAGGTCAGGGCCTAAAGCGCGCCCCCGAGCGGTGACCCCGGGGGAGTCCCTAGTTGATGTGCAGGCTGAAGCCGGATAGTCTGATAGGACCAGTGCCTAAGCCAATACCGCTCTTACCTGTAACCAATAAAGTTGTGGCCAATTTTAGCCCATTAAGCTAATGCAATGTTGTCACGTGTCTTTATTTCCACTGGGGGGACGCGGGAACTCGCCACACAATAATTCCCTCCAGTTTCGGTTTTGAGGGTGTGTGCTGGTGTTTATTTAGCCAAAATGGCAGGACCCACAAGCAAGAGGGAGGTATCGGAAGGTTCAGAGGAATGCAGAGGCTTAAAGAGTTTTTAAATACATTGGCGTGTGGGTGGGAGAAAACCTAAGGGAGGGGAACAAAAAAAGCATCGCAAAGAGGACTGAGTTTGCTCATTGGCTACAGAAATAAGAGCGTAAGAGGTGTCCTGTTGGAGCAGGTCAAAGGCCCATCTAGTCCAGCATCATGTTCTCACAGCGGCCAACCAGATGTCTGTGGGAAGCCCACAAGCAAGTCCTGAGCACAACAGCTCTCTCCCCACCTCAGCAACTGGTATTTGGGGGACGCTGCCTCTGACTCTGGAAAAGGACACAGCCATCTTAACTGGGAGATATCAATCCCCATGTCCTCTATGAACCTGCCTTCAGAGGCATCCGAGTTAGTGGCCATTGCTCCATCTCGTGAGAGGGGATGCTGACAGCTGGAAAACCAGGAAGCAGCAGGAATAATAATAATTTATTTATACCCCACCCATCTGGCTGGGTTTCCCCAGCCACTCTGGGCGGCTTCCAACAGAATATTAAAATACAATAACCTATTAAACATTAAAAGCCTCCCTAAAAAGGGCTGCCTTCAGATGTCTTCTAAAAGTCTGGTAGTTGTTTTTCTCTTTGACATCTGGTGGGAGGGCGTTCCACAGGGCGGGCGCCACTACCAAGAAGGCCCTCTGCCTGTTTCCCACGTGGCTTCTCACAGTGAGGGAACCGCCAGAAGGCCCTCGGCACTGGACCTCAGTGTCCGGGTAGAACGATGGGGGTGGAGACGCTCCTTCAGGTATACTGGACCAAGGCCATTTAGGGCTTTAAAGTTCAACACCAACACTTTGAATTGTGCTTGGAAAGGTACTGGGAGCCAGTGTAGGTCTTTCAAGATCGGTGTTATATGGTCTCTGCGGCTGCTCCCAGTCACCATTCTAGCTGCCGCATTCTGGATGGAGTCTCATGGAGTGGGAATGACTGGGAACGGAAAAGGAAGAACGCTGTATACTGCAACAATTCATTGCAAGTCATTTGTGTCAAAGACAATTAATAATAATAATAATAATAATTTATTATTCAGAACCAGGAATAGGAAGGCAAACTTAGAGGGGCAGCTATTTTTCTTGGATTGCCACTGAAAAGCTGTTCCCCTTGCATCTGATCTGGAAAGGAACATTTCCTGTTGTCCATCTATAGCACCTTTCATGGGCACCATAGGACATCCCAGTGGGGTGTATTGCTGCCCGCAGGCACCAAACTGGTGACTCCTGGAGTATGAGGATTCCCCCCCCAAGTGCCATCTCTCTCAGGCTAACCTCTGAGA